ATTTCATTTCATTTTCTTCATCTGGTGTTTTAGGGGATTGAGTTGCTGACAACTTAAAGTGATTAGCAAGGGGAGTACCAACTGATTTACTGTTCAKCATCCTAAATTTTTCAAGCATCCTTAARGARTATTGYTCKTGGGAAAGAAATAGAGTTCCTTTTKCTCTATTCCTTTTAATATCAATCCCAAGGATTCTTTTAGCTTCACCTAACTCTTTCATTTCAAATGCCCCYTTAAGATTTTCTTTAAGTTTCAACAATTCTAATTTATCACTACAAGCAAGTAGCATGTCATCCACRTATAAGAGRAGATATATAGAAGGTTTRTCTCTAGTATGTTTAAAGTATACACAATGGTCTAACATGCTCCTAGAGWAACCACATGATATCATAAATGAGTCAAATTTTAGRTAYCATTGCCTAGGAGCTTGTTTCAATCCATATAAAGAYTTTTTTAACAAACATACTTGATCTTCATTACCTTCCTTAATAAATCCAAATGGTTGTTGCATGTAAATAACTYCTGACAAATCCCYATGTAAGAATGYTGTCTTTACATCTAATTGCTCCAACTCCAAATTATATGCAGCAACTAGAGACAAGAGAATTCTTATTGAGGAGTGCCTAACAACCGGAGAGAATATCTCTCCATAATCCACTCCTTCCTTCTGTGTAAAGCCTTTTGCAACCAACCTCGCCTTATATCGAATTGGTTGTGAAGGATCAACAGCTTGTTTCAATTTGAAGATCCATTTACAACCGACAAGCTTTTGGTTAGGTGGTTTCTTTACCAATTCCCATGTTTCATTTTTAAGAAGARARCTCATTTCTTCTTCCATTGCTGCCAACCATTTGTCTGATTCTTTGGAGTTTATAGCYTCTGTGTAGGTTAATGGTTCATCTCCAKCTTGTTCTAATTCAGTGACTAAAGCATAGTGCACTAAATCTGCATTAGCATATCTAGTTGGAGGGCGTATTACTCTTCTTTGTCTATCCCGAGCAAGACTRTAATCTTGTAAAGGCTRAGTGATAGAAGGTTCTGYAGCTGGTTCAKTATCAWTATCTKGWTCATCAGGACTATCTGGTTCATTARGATTCYGCATCTGATYARCAACATYTGTCTTAATAGTTGGAAGTTCCAACTCCATTTCAAAAGTTTGTCTAGTGATACTTTCTTGATTATCCTCTGATGTTACATTTTCATAAGCCATTTTCGACTCATCAAAGATTACATCCCGACTTATGATACATTTTTCTTCACCTTTTTCAATGCACCACAGTTTATAACCTTTGACACCATKAGGATAACCTAAGAATAGACACTTCTTAGCTCTATTGTCCAACTTACCCTCTCTGCTATGTGCATAAGCAATGCARCCAAAAATCTTAAGATTATTCAAGTCTGGAGGGTGTTTGGACCACTTTTCAATGGGTGTTTTAAATTCAATAGCAGAGGATGRGCTTCTRTTTACTAAATAAGTTGYTGTTGACAGTGCTTCACCCCAAAATTTCTTTGGCAAATGAGCATTTGACATCAAGCATCTTATCTTTTCAAGCAACGTTCGATTCATCCTCTCGGCCAACCCATTTTGCTGTGGAGTTCCTCTAACAGTTAGATGCCTATTGATCCCTTCCTTTACACAGAAAATTTTGAATTCATTACTCAAGAATTCCAACCCATTATCAGTCTGCAAGTTCTTTACCTTCCTTTCAGTCTGTTTTTCTACTAATGTTTTCCATTCAACAAATTTTTTTTGAAGGTTTCATCTTTAGATTTTAGTAGATATGTCCATACTTTCCTTGAAAAATCATCAACTATAGACAAAAAATACCTTGCTCCCCCCATAGTA